AAAAAAAAAAAAAAAAGAATGTAAAAGATCCTGAGACCCACAGTTTAGGGACCAAATACTATCAGGGACCCCTTCAGGCTGCAGCCCTCTCTCAGCTGGAAGGTTCGGGTCTGACTTCCAAGTAGTCTAGAGAGCTAATGTCTCACACATTTGATACCTGGAGGTCTTGTCCCATCTGCTGTAGGTTGGTCCACAGACTATCCTGGTTGGTTGTGAGCTGGTGAATCTTTGTTTCAAATCTGTAATTTTTTTCTTCCTGGGAGGCATATATTGCTTTCAGCTTGTCTTTGTATCGGTTTAACTGTTTTTTAAGGAACCTGCAAAAAGAAGGGATTTGGGTAGGTTGGAAGGGCAAAAAGCCAGCACAGAAACTAGCGCTCTACCGTGTTGTATGCCAAGTCCTCCCTGTGGAAGCAGATGCCGGGAGGAGCCTGTACTTCAATGATTATCTGACATGTTAAACTTTATGACTATTTGCTACGCACCCTGCCCTTCATATCCATCATTATACAGTCAACTAAGAATTTCATTGGCTGTTAGAGGTGTTTTCAAAAACTCTCTTGCATGCTGTGGATCACTGTTGACAGCACACCCTTTATGGCTACTTACATTTGAATATTGGCTTTACTGATTATCATCTTGTCTAGAGACACTCATGTACCTATCATATACAAGTCATGGCTAACCATTTAACACTTGTCAAAAACCATAGGGAAGGAATGGTGATTCAATTCAGGAATTGTGGGTCTTTGGCTTTTCTTTCCAAGTCTAGTTGTTCATTGGCTTAAGAAAAAATCAAGCAGTCTGGGTAATTCTTTTGAAAGGCAGATCATGCTACTCCTCTGCTCAAAGCCCTCAGTGGCTCACTGTCTCACTTAGGGTTAGCTGAAGTTCTTACAGAGGCCAACAAGACCCTACATGATGACTCTACAAGATGCCTAACACTCCCTGTTACCTCTCTGATCTCATCTCCTGCTTCCTCTTCCTCACTTGCTGCTCTTCAGTCACACAGAGCTCTTTGCTATTCTCTGAACACACCCATCAGAAACTATGCACTTTTGGTTCCCTCTGCCTGGAACCCACCTTCCTTCTTCCCCCAGGTTCTTGCTCAGCAAACTTTCTTACCTCCTTCAAGGATTTGCTCACATGCCACATTTTCAGTGAGGTCTTTCCTGACTACGCCATTTGAAACCAGTAACTCCCAGCCTTGTACCTGGAACCTCCCTTCCTTTTCCCTGCTTGACTTGTGTCCGTAGCCTTTAAAATTCCTAATTGATACAGAGTTTGAAGAGGTCTTAGATTTTGGCTTCATCTCAAGCCTTCAAACATTTGGACAGTCACACTATCTTACTTATTATTTTACTTATATATTGCTTTGTTCTATTGCTTAGAATTATTTGTTTTTGGTCTCTTTATTCCCATTAGAATATAACTCCACAAGACAAATATTTCTTCTTTTTCTTTTTGTTTACTACTATATCCCCAGGCCCATGGTACATAGTAAGTGTGCAATCAAAATTGACTAAAGAAAGTGGAGTTTTGCTCTTTGATCAGTGTTATTGTATATTTGTGCAATTTGTGCAAATAAATCCTCTGATGTGAAATGCAACATTAATGAATGTTCCTGATTTCTATAGAGCTTAAAGATGTCTTGGAGTTTAGTCAGGGACCCACCCAAAGCAGGATTACCCTGAAAGATAATCCTCAAACTTCCAGACAGTTGTACTTGGGGGAATACAGAAATCTGACTCCAAAATTTTTTATTGTAATTGGAGTTTCAAGTGGATATTTATGATGGGTTTTTCAGAAAGGAGTCACTCGAAAACATTTGCAGAAGGCCTTTCTAGAGTCTGCTCTGTACCGAAAGCTTTGTGCTTGCTAAAGCTACTAATGATACACTCTCTTTTTCCTGTGTTGCCCACCCCCTAACCCCACCATAACTCTGCCAGTGTTTTTTCCCTTGTTTAAAGCAGAAATTCTCATGGAGTATTTCTGGAAAGCACAATTCATTGGGTGCTAATATTTCCAGCAATAGGGAGCTAGGCAAATCTCCACTATTACAAACAGTTTGGACTACTTTAAAATAATTCTCAGATGGCCTGAAATCTGCCTCTGTAGACTTTTATCTCTTTATGTGTTTTATCTCTTACATGTTTATTCCTGCTTAAGGATTTTTTTTCTTTTGCAATGCTGAAAAAAAGACCATGGTAGAATAAAGTAAACCAAAGTTGCATACAAACAGTCCAGAGGACTGGTTGACCATGTGATCCTCTGCCTAAATGACTGTGAGATCAGAAGAACTAGGTGGTGCCCAGCTAACACTGTCAACAACTTGGAGGGGGATCGGTGCGGGAGATCCTGGATAGAATGGACAAATAATGTGGAACAAAACTCAAAATCATAAAAAAAAAAAAAAGAAGAAGAAGAAGAAGAAGAGATCAGGTTTGCTGGTCTGATAGAGCCTGGTTAGACATCTTAGATATGTTATCCTTCATATCTGAAGTTCTGAAACTGAACTCATTCCTACGGCTTCTAGCCAAACAACAGACAGGCATATAAGGTGAACATTTACAGCAGATAGATACACCCTTGGGAGTGATCAATCAATCATGGCAGAATAGAAGGGCAGTGTTTGCACAGGGAGATAACTCTGGGGGTGGGAGTGCATGGGAGGGAAGAACACAGGGAAAAACTACGGGCAGGAAGTGGGAAGAGAGCTGTTGCATTGTGGGGAATTGCAGTCAATGTCATGAAACAAAATGTGTATGAACTGCTTTTAGAAAATGAATTTGTCCTGTAAACTTTCACCCAAATCACACACACACACAAAAAGGAAGGAAGGAAGAAAGAGACAAAGAAAGAAAGAAAGAAAAAGACCTAAAATCTTTGTAGAAAATATTCCTGTAAAAGTAATGAGATGTGCTAATGATTTGTCTTTGCTGTTAATATTGGGAAATACACATTTGGTCCTTACCTTCTTTCCTTATGGAGAGCATTAAGGGAGTCACGAGTCTTCCACAGTTCATTCCTAATGTTGACTATAGTCTAGAGAAGCAAGAAAATACAGAAAAGAAGTTTGTAGTTTAAATTAAATCCACATTCTTAGGAGCACACTTTAAACAATGATTGTTTTTCAAAGACACAAGAATCTATTTTAAATAATGACTGGTGCTTGGGGTTATGTTCACATACAATGGTGCAGATGTTCATATATTCAGAGTCCAGTCACCTGATCTCATTTGGACACGATAAATCTCTTCAAAGAGATTAAAAAATGTATGAGCTTTTAAAAATAAATTACAATAATTTTTTGCCTAAGCTAGGTTGTTGCCCTGACCATGTCCTTCCCTAAAAGAATCTATAAAAAGAAGCATTGTTCACAACAGCCAAAGGTGGCAACAATTCAGATGGTCAAAAACAGATGAGAGGATAAACAAAATGTGGTTTATCCATACAATGGAATATTATTCATCCATAAAAAGGAATGTTGTTGTTGTTATGTACTGTCGAGTCGGAGCCAACTCATAGCGAACCCTCCTTGGATTTCCAAGGCAGTATCACTACAGAAGTAGATTGCCCCATCTTCCTTCCGAGAAGTGGCTGGTGGGTTTGAACCACCAGCCTTCTGGTTAGCAGTCAAATGCCTTAGGCACTATGCTACCAGAGCTCCCATAAAAAGGAATAAGGAACTGATCATTGCTAAACATAGGTGGATCTTGAAAATATTTTGCTAAATGAAAAAAGGTGGTCACAAAAGACATGCTATATTATTTCATTCATATAAAAGTCCAAAATGGGAAATCCATGGAGACAGAAAGTAGATTAGTGGTTACTAGGGGCCGGCAGGGAGGCGCTAAGAGATGGAGAAGGGTGAAGGCTAAAGAGGACAGAATTTCTGAGGTAATAAAAATGTTCTACAACTGATTGTGATGATGGTTGCATGTATCCGTGAATATATGAAAAATCATTGAATTGTCACTTTAAACGGGTGAATTATATGGTATGTGAATTATTGATAAAATAAATCATTTGCCATCGAGTCGATTCCAACTTACGCTGACCCCATGTGTATCAGGGAACCGTGTTCCATGGGGTTTTCAGTGGCTGCTTTTTCAGAAGGAGATTTCCAGGCCTTTCTTTTGAGGTACTTATGGATGGGCTTGAAGAACCATCAACCTTTCTGTTAGCAGCTGAGCGCGTTAACTCTTTGTACCATGCAGGGTACTGTATATCTTAGACATAGATCTGCTAATAATAAAGCAGTTGAGTCACTTTCCCTCGGTCCAGGAAATCTCTCACTTCTTTCTTCTACCATCCTCGTAAATTGTCTTGTCTTTCCATTGCTTTCTCCTTGAACATACACTTGGAGTCATCCCTTCTCTATGAAGTCCCGGAGTCTGTTTGAATTCATCATGACCAGCCAGGTGTTCAGTTTGGATTTTCCCCACCAAATCTTTTATCTCTCACAATGCCCTCTGCTCCCTGAACTGCAGCCCAAGGACAGGTCCTGGCCTGACCCAGCTGGCCCAGCTCCTAGGGCACCATGTCCCAGCTCTTGTCCCACATGCCAGGATGCGTGATTGGATTTTATTACTCTACATTCGTAAGCAGCTGAGGCCACACTCCGTAACCTTCTCTCCTCCCTGCAAAGGATCTGAAGAGGGACTGGCTGCTCGGAACGTTCACCCATAGAAACAGATGGAAGAAGGAGAAGGCAGCAGAAGAGTGAGCTACAGACTTGAAGTGACATCCTCCGGTAGGCATGCAGTCTCTGAGGCCCCTCCCAATGCCCTGCCTCATCATTCAAATACTCAAACAGCTTCTTTATGCCTACAACTTCTGAATCAGTGAACTTCATATTACTAATATGAAAACACATCTTTAAAAGGAGTTTTACATCAATGTTATCATAGGGCAACATTGCTCTGTAATTTGATCAACATTTTAGGTGAGCACCCATGGAGCCCTGGTGTTCTAACTGTTGTCTGGCATATCCTTAGAATAGACGGTAGTGGTATTGCGCTGTTAGCCACCATGGAGTCACCCCAGAGTCAGGGCAACGCCGTGTACATGGTAAGTCTTGTGTGAAGTTGTGGATCAGCCCATTGCGCTCCACAGGGTTTCCGCTGGCTTCGTGTTGCAAGCTGGTCACAGCCTTTCTTCCTAGTCTCAGTCTGGAAGCTCCACTGAAACCTGTTCAGCATCATAGCGACACACAGACCTTCACTGACAGATGAGCGGTAGCTGAGCACGAGCTTCTTTGGCTAGAAATCTAACCTGGTTTCCTGTTTGGAAGCTGAGAATTCTACCATGGAAC